GTAAGTTTGTTATTGTTCCTGATCTTGCCTCATAGTTTGCCATTGTTCCTGATCTTGCCTCGTAGTTTGCCTAAGTCTAGTTCGTGTTTATCTGTCTCGTTTCTTGTTTTGTTGTTGATTTGTTACTTTGTATTTTTTGAGATTTTGTATTTTTGTCACTGTTTTCTGCACTTTATTTCTATTAAATCTGCACTTGAATCCATAATCTTTTTGTTCCCGTTTTGCTATTGTTTTGATCACGCTAAACGTGACAGAACGATGCGACCACAATATGGATTCAGCAGGTAATCTAATAATGCTTATAAAGCAGGGTAACCGCTCCGTTGAACAATATATTAAGGAGTTTTTGGAGTTAGCCCCGAAGAGCTCTCACAGTGACCTTTCTCACAGATTTTTTTTCGGGGAGGACTTTTAGAACCAGTCCGCTCCCGTATGCCATCCTATGAAGAGGAGTGGAGCCTGTACTTTTTTATGGAGCATGCGCTGCTGATATCTGGCTCCCCTCTCTCTATCTTCTTATTGGAGCAGAACCCTCAGGAGGGAGGCCTGAGGAATGATCAGCAGCTAAGTCTATTTTTGGGGCCCGCTAATCTATCTTCGGGAGGGAGGAGAAAAGCTGGTTTGAAGTTGCGGCCTTATCCATGCCGGGCTATGCAAAGATCAGTTTTTTCTGAGCCTCTGGAGAGACTAATTGAACTTTGTGAGAACCCAGTGTCTACTATAGCCCCACAGCACCCGCCAGTGTCGGTTCCAGTCCCAGAGCATGCTTCTCTTTCTGTTGACAACACCCCTCCACTTACTCGGACGACCAGACGGAGGACGAGTAGAAAGAGGACTGCTCATGCCCCAGAGCGCCCGCCAGTGTCAGCTCCAGCCCCAGAGCGCCCGCCAGTGTCGGCTCCAGCCCCCACAGCGCCCGCCAGTGTCGGCTCCAGCCCCAGAGCGCCCGCCAGTGTCGGCTCCAGCCCCAGAGCGCCCGCCAGTGTCGGCTCCAGCCCCAGAGCGCCCGCCAGTGTCGGCTCCAGCCCCAGAGCGCAGTACAATGCCAGTTCCATTCTGGCTTCTGGCCTTACCGGCGCCACCCAGGCTCCTCGCCCTGCCGGTGCCACCCAGGCTCCTCGCCCTGCCGGCACCTCCCAGACTGCTCGCCCTGCCGGCACCAACCAGATGTCTAGCCCTGCCGGCACCAGCCCGGCTCCTTGCCCTGCCGGCACCACCCAAACGTCTTGCCCTGCCGGCACCACCCAGACGTCTTGCCCTGCCGGCCCCAGTCCGGCTCCAGGCCCTGCCGGTTTCAGTCCGGCTCTTTGCTCTGCCGACCTTGCTCGGGCTCCTTGCTCTGCCAGCTCCAGTCCAGCTGCCTCCAGTCCAGCTGGCTCCAGTCCCGCTGGCTCCAGTCCAGCTGCCTCCAGTCCCGCCGGCTCCAGTCCAGCTGCCTCCAGTCCCGCCGGCTCCATTCCAGCCGCCTCCAGTCCAGCTGCCTCCAGTCCCGCCGGCTCCAGTCCAGCTGCCTCCAGTCCCGCCGGCTCCAGTCCAGCTGCCTCCAGTCCCGCCGGCTCCAGTCCAGCTGCCTCCAGTCCCGCCGGCTCCAGTCCAGCTGCCTCCAGTCCCGCTGCCTCCAGTCCCGCCGGCTCCAATCCAGCTGCCTCCAGTCCTGCCGGCTCCAGTCCAGCTGCCTCCAGTCCTGCCGGCTCCTGTCCAGTTGCCTCTCCAGCGGGCTTGCTTGGGGTCCCCTGCCTTGTGTTTTTGGCAGAATCATCCGTGGGTCATCCCTCCCGCCCCTTCCTGGTGGTCCTCCCCATTTCAGACTGATTTCCCGGCTGCACCCTGGCTTCCTGCTGGGGTGCCTGACCCTGATCTGGCCCTCCCATCCCTCCCTTTGTTCCTGCTCCGCTCCGCCCCCCCTCTTGGAACCAGTCTGGGAGCGTCTGGAAGCCGCTCTTTAGAGGGGGGGTAATGTCACATCCGTCTGTGACCACCTGAGGGCGCTGTAGTGCTCTAGGACTTTGTAGGCGCTACAGTGTCCCAGGAAAAACTACATTTTCATACATGCCCCGCGCACACACCGGAACACCTACACTGACCTGTCATCACATCTGTTTTGTGTTACCGTTGATTATCTGGACTATATATTCTACCATTCCACCTATGTTTGTCGTCGCGTCGTTTGCCTTCATTGTCTTCTTGCTCTCTGTAAGTTTGTTATTGTTCCTGATCTTGCCACATAGTTTGCCATTGTTCCTGATCTTGCCTCGTAGTTTGCCTAAGTCTAGTTCGTGTTTATCTGTCTCGTTTCTTGTTTTGTTGTTGATTTGTTACTTTGTATTTTTTGAGATTTTGTATTTTTGTCACTGTTTTCTGCACTTTATTTCTATTAAATCTGCACTTGAATCCATAATCTTTTTGTTCCCGTTTTGCTATTGTTTTGATCACGCTAAACGTGACAGTAATTGGCAGAATACAATTTTACCTGACAAATAAAATGTTAAGTTTTGATTAATTCTGGAGTTTTGCGAATTCATTGTATCCAGTAGATTATGTGGAGTCTCGTTACCCTTATCGTACGGCATAATCGAAATTGATTTAATTGGCGCATTTGATTATTCGTAGCCATTGCGTGCCGATAACATGTAGACCTTTTAATCATTCGACCACTGGGAATAGCAAGTTGCACGGGCTTGGCTAAAATCTGTTTATTTAGGAAATTAGGTGAGCGTTAATGCAACCAGCCTATCGAAATATTAGTTAATCCTGCATCCTCTGACTATTTTCAGAGTGCCGACATATTGTCCGTGAGAAGAAACGCAAACCCGGGGCGTGGAACTCTGAGCGACGTAGGTCCCTAATGAACGTACAATTAGAATATCGGACCTCAGAAAATATCAAAACTCTAAATTAAATCATAAATGATGAATGTGATCCGTTCTTACAATTAGAAATATAATCTAAATTTTAGGATCATTTAAATTGGAGTCAGATTGAATTCAGAGCTAAAAAATTAATATAAATAAATTCTAATAAATAATAAAATTCTTTTCATAAGCACTAAAAAAAGGCTTACATGCATTAAACCTTCGACCATGCTGTTAGTTTCGTCATTGAGCTAATAGATGGACTCCTACAATACCCTCAGCAGAGAGTGAACTCTTTCATGGAACGCAAAAGAAAAGTGTCCCTCTAAACCAGGCATGTCCAAACTCGGTCCTGGAGCACCAGTGTCTTGCAGAGTTTAGTTCCGACCCCAATCAAACACACCTGGGCTAGCTAATCAAGCTCTTACTAGGCTTTCTAGAAACATCCTTGCATGTGTGTCGAGGCAAGTTGGAGCTAAAATCTGCAGGACACTGGCCCTCCAGCACCAAGTTTGGACATCCCTGCTCTAAACAAAAGAATCTCATGCACCAAAGGAACCTGAAAAGCATTCATTCAATCATTTCCTTCTTATTAGTCCCTTATTTATCAGGAGTTGCCACAGCAGAATGAAGCATCAACTATTCAGGCATCTGTTTTACACAGCGGATGCCCTGCCGGCCGCAACCCAGTTCTGGGAAACACCCATACACTCTCAGATTTCCCAACGCATTCATACACTATGGCCTACGACTGTCGGGGAAATCGGAGCACTCGAAGGAAACCCATGACAACAATGGAAGAACATACATACTCCACACAGGAATGATTCAAACCAGCGACCTTCCTGCTGTGAGGCGCTGATCCACCGTGCAACCCACATCAAAACATTATAGAAGTTTAAACAATTTCAGAAATATACTGCTGATCTACCCTCTTCATCAGTGTATCACTCCGCCCGCAGAGAGTACCAAACAGAGGACTAGAGTCACTATAGATTGACAATTACCGCCGCTGTTAGACCACAATGTATATTTGATACTTTTAGGCGGTAATGTAGTTGCTTAGACTGTAAATATGCTGTTTATTTACAGGTACAGCGTCTATTTTAAAAAGTGTTTAGAAGATTTTGGAAGTGGGACTTCTAGCATGTCGGTGTCCTACCTTGTCAGATTATCCTACCTCCCATTCAAAAGGTAGGCAGCACATTTTGATGATGCAATATGCTACCCATCTGATTTTGCCACCTATGTAGGTTTGAATGTGGAGTAGAGTGATATGAAGCTATAATGTCACCCTGACCCACCAACCTCAGAGCCTTTCAAATACAGTGTTGGGTGTTTAATCTGATGAGTAGGATACAACGTCAGGACACCGCAGACACTTATTGAAGCCTTGGATGTGTGTCTGTACAGTAGTCTGTTGTGTAGTGTAATGTGTTTAGGCTATATCTAAAGGCAGTGTTTGGTCACTTATCTGTTATTTACGCTAGAGCAAATAGATTTCACTGCAATGTTAAGTTTAACAGCTTACACTTGAAAACTTGGTCGTTGCTCTGTAGACTGATTTACGTAGCATCTTTAAATTATTGTGTTAGTGTTATTGTGCAATTAGTGACATTTGATATGAACTGCAGTGATATTTAATAATAAAAATGCTTTGTATTACAAACTGCAGCATTGAGTGTGATTGGCAGGAGGAATGTGAAGGGAGCAAACTATTTCCTCAGGACATTTTAAACTACAGCCTAAACAGGGTTGGACTAAAATAAAGTGAAGTTTATTGGAAAATAAATACCAAATAACACAATTTTAAGTGTTTAAAAATAGACAACAAAATACAGCAGCCATATGTAACATGTATTACATGTCTGAAAAGCTCCAGAAGTGTATATTTCTGTTGCACTATATATATATATATATATATATATATATATATATATATGACATGCATTAACAGAATTGTTTTCTTAGGCTGTACTAAAACACATAAAAAACATTCATGTTCACAAATATTTTAAGTTCCAGTGGTTTGTGTGTTGTCTTGAAGACACGCCCACAGTCAGGAGAATATCATGAATATTCATGTCAGTGGAGCCAGTAATATTTCAGGATATACCTGTAGATCACACAGGTGTGTTTTAGTGAAGTGAAAGAGTGAAAGAGCTCAGATTGTGTTCCTGCTGCACAAGAGCGTCTGTACTTCTGCAGGTAAGTTTAATATTTCTACTTTATGCTGATTTGTGGAGATGATAAAGGGGTTTTATATGTGTGAGTGTGATTTAAATGTCTGATCCTGAAGATCAAATCCTCAAACACAAACAAACTTTTGATTTTTGTCAAAACAGTCATTTAAACTTTGTGTCTTAAAAACTTAAATTTTAATCCCGTGAAAATGTTTGTACTCTTCTATATCAGGGTGACTTGATCATTTCTGATCATTCAGCACAAAACATAATTTTAAACATTGAGAGTTTCAAACTCGAAAGTAAAGTTAAACCAGATGTTCCAGTTGATCAGGAAGAAACTCTGCTAAAAAACAACAAGCGGATGTCCCTTATACAATCTGCATTTAACCCTTAACTGACAGCTTGATGCTTTTAGTACTAAATAAATAAAAATAAAATAAAAATTATGACAAACTATTTAATCTTATTTTATAGATCTGCTTTGAGTATTCTTAAAGAGATCTCTCAGATTTAATCTCTAATACCCGTTTTACCTTCCTCAAATACTCTATTAACACACTTGTGCTCAGAGAAACAGTATAAATATTTTCAGCTGCAGTGGTTTGGGTGTTGTTTTGATGACTCGTCCACAGTTATTAATATTTCAGGATATACCTGCAGTAGTGTTGTCAAAAATATAGATATTTCAAAATGCATCGATACTGCATTATTTTAAACAATACAGTTTTGCTTTTGGTTGGTATCGATAGCGGCTTTGGTCTCTTGAGGGTTGATAAACACTGCTCATGAGCACTTTCTCTCAGCCCTAAAATGTAATCTGATGAATGGTTGAAGGGTAAATGCCTGTAAGCCTTTTCTAGTGCTTCTGGAATCTTTGTTTTCTGCTCTGAATTTAATCTGACTCCAATTTTAAGTGACAATTGAATTTAGACTATTTCTGATTATAAACAGGTCACATTAGTCGTGTATGAATTAATTTAGAGTTTTAATTTATATCTGCTCCTATACTCTTCAATCATACATTCAATCTGGGACCAAATGCCACTTAAAGTTTCATGTCCAGGGTTTACGTGTTTCTCACAGACTTGATCTCAATGTTCTGAAGTTAGTCAGAGGATGCAGAGTAAACTAATACCTCACAGTCTGGTTGCCTCCTGCTCACTTGTGTTAAGTTTATTTAGTTATTTCCACACAACTTGCTACTCTTAGTGATTAAACAGAAATTAAAAGGTCTGCCGTACTTCCTGCTCCATACAGTCATATGAGCTTAGAAATCTATAAAATCCTGTCACAACCAGTGATGTAAACAATTACAAATAATCAAACTACTGTAATTGAGTATTTTGTCTCAAAATATTGTAATTTACTAAGTTGTTTTATATATATATATATGTACTTTTACTTGGTACTTTTACTCCACTACTGTCCTTCAACCTGCAATCACTACATTATTTTCTTTTGTCTATGGGGGATATCCAGTCCAATCAGATCACATATAGAAGGTAAATCAGAGCATAATGAACTACCTCAAGACATGGGGGATTTAGAATTACATCAAACGATTTGGAAGCATTAAAATTGTCCAAGAAGATGTCCAAAATCTTTACACGCATTGACCCAGAGACTGTTGAGACGATGTCACTAATGAGAAGATGGTGGATGATTACTGTATGATGACCCAAATGGCCTTACACACCCAGCAGACATAAGACATAAACATGTCAACAGATTGACGTTGTACCCCAACGTTGTGGGGACGTTGCATTTTGTTTCCACCTCTGGATCCAATTCTCTCAAACATCCTCCAGAACATTTCCCTAACCATAGTGCCGGCCCTAACACACACCATAAACACTTCACTCCACTCTGGCACATTCCCAACCATCTTTAAGCAGGCCTGGGTAAACTCATTGCCCAAGCAGGTTCTACATAATCATTTCTGCTTTTACTGGACCCGTCTGCTGCTTTGGATATGGTGAATCATCAGATTCTTCATCAGGTCTTCAGTGAGCCCAACTGAAGTGTACCACCTCTCATTACCTCTCTACATTGGTTACCAGTAGAGGATTGCATCAAGTTCAAATCACTGATGCTCTCTTACAGGACAGCCACTGGCACTGCATCCACTTACCTCCACCTGCTGCTGAAGGTCTACAAACCATCCAGTGGCCTTTGATTAGTGAGTGAGCACTACCTTGTGGTACCATCACAAAGAGGCTATAAGTCACTTTACAAAACCTCTTCCTTCAATATTCCCACACAGTCTGCAGATTCACTGGTATTAAAACAACAAGTAAAAACCCAACTCTTCCGAGATCACCTGAACAAAAAATAAGGGCCCCCTCTTCTCTCCCCACTTCACCACACAACAACCCCAAAACATTATCAATTTTGAGTGTGCCTCACACAGGTGAGTGGACTGTACAAACCACCTATAGAAAACACACTCTTTATCCCTCTGACACGTTCCTGTAACAACTCCATATAAAAAAGGCTTTAGTTCTTTTCATTGTTGGCTGGTACTAGCTTCAGTTTTGCAACATGTGTGGAACAACACTTGTGGTGTCTGTGCTCTGAAAGGCTGGAAGACAGCAATAGTGAGATGGACTTTTGGCCTGCTGGCATAGATGCGATGTTAGTGAAGTTTATTTATGAACTAATTTAGAGAAGATCAAATGATTATGACTGTTCACGGCATTGTTAGATGATTCCTAACTCACTATAAATAACTAGCTTTTCTTAACTCAGTATCTTCATCTTGAAGAATCCCCCTTCCCACCCCTACTCCCCCTCCTGTCCAGATGGGTGACAGCGCAGGGACCAGCACTGTTGCCTCACAGCAAGAATGTCTCTGGTAAAGTCCCTACTAAACCAGTTGACATTTTTGCGCAGACTTTGCTCATTCTCCCCATGCTTGTACGGGTTTTCCCCGGTTTCTCCAGCTTCCTCATACAGTCCAAAAACATGCAGTCTAAGTAAATTGAACAGAACAAATTGATACCACAGTCAAGCTCAGGGGAGTTCATTGAGATCTGCCTGAGCTCAAACTCCCCTCTCGTCCTGCAAATGGGAGGGAGCCCAAGGCTCGAGGATCTCATAGGTTCAGGGCTCTCTCCTGGGACAGCATGACAAACAAGCTTTATTATCAATCATTAGCTGAGTGTGAACTCTTGGAAATGATGAAGAGTTTTTTTGTGTGTAAGTGGGATTTTAATGTCTGATCCTGAAGTTGTCAGCCTCAAATACCATTTAAACACAATGTCAAAACATCATTAAACACAATGTCAAAAGTATACTTTTTGATTCTTTTAAAAATATCTCTACTTTTCTATATCAGTCTTTCAGATCATTCAGTGAAAAATATAACTCTTAACAAAGAGCGTCTCGAACTTGAAAGTAAAGTTAAACCAGACCTTCCAGTTGATCACGAAGAAACTCTGCAGAAAAACAACAAGCTGATGTTCCTTACAAAAACTGCATTTAACCCTTAACTGACAGCTGACTTTAGTACTAACTCAATAACTAACTATTTAAAACTAAATAAATTGGCTAAACTTTGTTATCTTGACAATATACAGTTAAAGTCAGAATTATTAGCCACCCTTTCATTTTTTTTCTTTTTGAAATATTCTCCAAATGATGTTTAACAAAGTGAGGAAATGTTCACAGTATGTCTGAAAATGTTTTTTTCTTCTGGAGAAAGTCTTATTAGTTTTATTTTGGCTAGAATTAAAGCAGTTTTTAATTTTTTATAAACCATTTTAAGGTCAGTATTATTAGCCCCTTTAAGCTGTATTTGTTTTCAATAGTCTACAGCAGGGGTTCCCAAACTTTTCAGCCTGCGACCCCTGATATGACGATGCCAGTGACTCGCGACCCCCAATATCCTGGCTATGAATACAGAAACCTTGCATGCAATGTCACACACACACACCAATACACCCAGGGATATTCTTCGTTTAATGTCAGTGCGGTAAATGGCCCAGAACCTTTAACCTGTTGTTATAAAATCAATCTGCTGCATCTGACGCTATTGCTGTGTCTTTAATATAATGTAATTACCACTGCGGTCGCAATCCAATAGAACTAGTTACTATAAGCTACTATAGTAACTATATAGTAATTATAAATGACTTTATTTTTTCTCTTCTGTAGGTTATGGATAAAATATGGTCATTCTTATATGATTTAATAATAATAAATAGACTTTTTTAAAATAACCAGGCGACCCCCCCTTCATTGTCCCGCGACCCCTCGAGGGGTCCCGACCCCCACTTTGAGAACCCCTGGTCTACAGAACAAACAACTGTCATACAATAGCTTGCCTGATTACCCTAACCTGCCTAGTTACCCTAATTAACCTAGTTAAGCCTTTAAATGTCACTTTTAGCTGTATAGAAGTGTCTTGGTAAAATATATATCCAAATGTTATTTACTGTCATCATGGCAAAGATAAAATAAATCAGTTATTAGAGATGAGTTATCAAAACTATTATGATTAGAAATGTGTTGAAGAAATCTGCTCTCTGTTAAACAGAAATTGTGAAGGAAAAAATAAACAGGGGGGCGAATAATTCTGACTTCTTGTGTATATCATTTTATTTTATAGGTCCAATACAGCTTTATGTATTCTTCAGAGACCGCTCAGATTTAATCTCATATACTTTTTCATTCTTAAAGATATTCTATTAACACACTTTTGCTCTGAGAAACTACCAAGATATCTTCAGCTCCAGTGGTTTGTGTGTTGCTTACAGTCAGGAGAATCTCATGAATCACACCGCCACACGGTGGAGCCAGTAATATTTCAGGATACACCTGTAGATCACACAGGTGTGTTTTAGTGAAGTGAAAGAGTGAAAGAGCTCAGATTGTGTTCCTGCTGCACAAGAGCGTCTGTACTTCTGCATGTGAGTTTGACACTTCTACATTACGCTGATTTGTGGAGATGATGAAGGGTTTATATGTGTGAGTGTGATTTAAATGTCTGATCCTGAAGATCAAAACCTCTAACTCTGATTAAACATGGTGTCAAAACAGTAATTTAAACACTGTGTCAAACAAATGTTATTCCCATGAAAATGTGTGTACTCTTCTATATTAGTATGAGTTGATCATTTCAGATTATTCAGTAGAAAATATATTACTCTTAACACAAAGAGTCTCGAACTCAAAAGTAAAGTTAAACCAGTCCTTCCAGTTGAACAGGAAGAAACTCTGCTGAAAAACAACAAGCTGACGATCCTTACTCTGGATTTAACCCTTAGTTGTCAGCTGACATTTTAGTACTAATTAACTAACTAACTAAATAATAATAATAATAATAAATAATAGGCTAAAGCTGATGTTATCTTTACAAACTATATAATCTTATTTTATAGGTCCAAAATAACTTTAAGTATTCTTCAGAGACCTCTCAGATTTAATCTCAAATACATTTTAGTCTTCTTGAAATATTCTATTAACAAACTTGTGCTCAGTTAAACTGTGTGAATAATTTAAGTTCCAGTGGTTTTGCTGTTGTCTTGAGGATTCACACACAGTCAGGAGAATCATATTCATGCCAGTTTCTCGCTGCAGATGTGAAAAAAGAAGTGCAGAAAGTTTGACATCTATTATCTGCCAAAAGCTTTAAATTTTAACACTGAAAAAGTTTTTTTTTCACTGATAAAAGTCATCACTACTAATTTGCAGTTCAACATTTTCTTCAAAAAATAACCATTCATTGGCTAGTTTAGCAACATTATTTAATAAGAATCTTAAAATAAGATTTAAGAGCCCTCCTATAGCTGGACATAGTATCTTTGTACACAATTCTACAGACCTCTTAGTGTTTTCCACTTATGTTCAAGGGTACAAGTTGCGGTTTTTAGAGTGTGAGTGTGATTGTTATACCATGGTGTAGTTTTATTCTCTCTTGATTTGACGAGGTCAGCAATATTTAGTGTGTTAGTGAAGATAGCATCCATACTGCTAGTTACTACATTAAGGTCATTTGTGTTTATGGATTCATTTAGAAATAGAGAAAAATCAGGTTAGTTGTTTATCGATTCATCTTTAGTGGACGGGACGATAGATCCATCAGGGTGATATATCTGTGCAGATCTGCTCATTTCAGGTAAACACAGATTATAAAATAAGTGGTAGTTGCCCTAGATGTGGCTTAAAACCAGCTAAACTGAGTCACATGTTTTGGGTTTGCCCTAGACTGAATCACGTGGAGTGCTTTGATTGATGTGAAATAACAAAAACTATATAAGTGTGCTATCCCTCATCATGTGGTGTGTTTGAGTGCGGTGTTGTTCGTGAAGTGAACATTGATTGCTATAAAGTGTGCTGTTCTTCATCTCAGTATATTGTCATCTCCAGGTGATGGTCAGCGGCTGATTGTTTCCTGAAAGCTCTGCTAATGTCTGCATTGGTGTTTTAGCTGCAGTATGGCAGAGGAGCGAGTAAAGGACTCTCTCTCAGAGAAACACAGGTATTGACTCTGTTTTTACACCATTATTTCAACACTTTCTCTGAAGAACAAACACCAACAACAATGCACTTATTTGTGCTGCTATTGCCTGATCAAATGATGGACAAAGCTTCAGTTTACAGCTTCAGCAAATCTGTTTAGATCACTCTAGATCACAGACAGCCTAAACATGTTTACCAGAACTCAATGTGTGTCATGTGTGCTGTTTAAAGTCCTCAACAACATCAGAATTAAAGCTGACCCCAGAACAGTTTCAGCTTGTGCTTATAGAGGAGATGAAATTAAAATATACCAGAATTTCATTTAATAAAATGATTAAAAACATGCATGTTAAACTTATATATAAAAAGCATATAGTTCAGTAAATGGAGTTTTAGAATATTTTTTGTCTCTCAGATTTAGAGATTATATTAAATTGTATAGATATTTTGTGTTTTATATCTCCTCCTCTGGTTTCTGTAGTGAGTTTTTACTCCGCAGATTCTATCACAAGGTTTTGAGTCAATTGTGTTTTCAGTGAAGCTGAGATTGTGCAGAATGAGAAAGCAGCGCATCACTCGTCTATTTACCCATGATTCCTGTGTAGCAGACCTGATCAGACAGACCTTTAGTCAACAATTAGTTTGTGCTGAATTAAACTACACAAACTTTAATCTCTTTAATTTGGCGACCTGCTTCTGTGAGTCATCATCGGAGGGGTCAACTGAAAATAATCTTTCTTCAATGTTTACAATTTGAAACTAATTCTAAATTCAAACCTAGTTCAACCATAGTCATTTCGCCAGCTTACAATTATAAGGTTCTCTCTGTATTCTGAATGATTTTAAGATATTGATCTTCAAAGTTTTTGCATTGCATATAGCAGTGGTTCTCAAACTGTGGTACGTGTACCACTAGTGGTACGCGGGCTTCCTTCTAGTGGTACGTGGAGGAATGAAATATGTCATGTACATGCTACACACATTTCAAAATTTATTAAAAATGATGTATATAATATGCCATATATGGCATATAGCCTATATTTCTGAGGTAATCTGCCACGTTTTTTTAACTGTGCAGAGTTGTAGCTGCTTTACTGGGCCTACTACACTACTGAATTTCAATACTGCTCATTTTGGTGGTACTTGGAGTGAGAATTATTTTCTGAGGTGGTACTTGATGAAAAAAGTTTGAGTACCACTGGCATATAGCAAACAATATGCGCGCAACAGTTCTTTTATTAACTTGACAGAGACCCTAAGAGTTCTCTAAATTTAAATGATCAAAACTTTCTTACATTTGCAAATTGGAGTATAATTTCATCATTTTCCATTTAGAATTATAAGGTTGTATCTGGCAGATCAATCATTAAAGCATTAATAATCAAGAAATACAATAAAAAATATATGTAAGTTAGTGTTGTAACAATATGTTGATGCTGGAGAAAGTTGAATTTTTGCTTTCTATAACATTTATTTCATATTTTAGGATGAGTATTTTTTCTTGTTTAATTTTTCCAGTGCAGATGTTAATTTTATGTAATTAATATGTTATTATTTATTACATTTTATGCTTCATATGAATTATTGAACTATATTTCTTGAATTATATGCGCTATTAATTAAATTAAGTATTTTCCATTCAAGGCTTAATATTAAATTTAAAGACTTTAAAGGAAACAGACGATGATCGAATAAGTTTAATAAACACTGAAAAGTGTTTCACTGACTGTATGTAAACAAATACATATATATTCACATTTAATATATACATTTTTATAATAAATTTTTTTCAACACTGTAAAATTTAACATTTCATCTTAATGTTGCCGACACGGTGCCACAGTGGGTGGCATGATCACCTCACAGCAAGAACGTCACTGGTTTGAGCATCAGCTGAATCAGTTGGCATTTCTGTGCGGAGTTTGCATGTTCTCCTCATGTTGTTGTGGGTTTCCTTCAGGTGCTCCAATTTTTTCCCACAAGTCCAAAGACATGCCATACAGGGAAATTGAGTAAGCTAAAATTGGCCATAGTGTATGTGTGTGATTGAGTGTGTGTGTGGGTGTTTCCCAGTGATGGGTTGCAGCTGAAAGAGCATCTGCTGCGTAAAACATGCGGGATAAGTTGGCAGTTAATTTCGCTGTGGCGACCCCGGATTAATAAAGGGACTAAGCCGACAAGAAAATTAATGAATGAATGAATCTCAATGTTGGGAAATGCTTCTAAATCATTACATTTACACACATCTCAGTTTTGTGTGGTGCAGCATTATTTAGCAGACTCTGATTTTGTGTGATTTTGTCTTTCTGTTGTTTCCCGCTGTCAATGGAGCAGTCTGGCGAAATGACAAAGAAAGCTGATCCTGATTGTCCTCGTGGGTGCATTAAAAATGCTGATTGGCTCACAAAAAGAACCTTATAAAGCAAAGCTAGAGTTCGACTTTGTAGATAAAACCTTTTTTGTTTTTTTAATAAAATGTCTTAAAATGTAAACAACTTAAAAAATGTCACATAACATAAATATGTTGTCATTTAATAAGAATATGTCAAGAACTCAGTTTTGACAAAAATGTCAGATGGAACCTTATAACTCCAAGGTGACGATATGTCAATCCTGCACACTGCACCTTTAAAGGAGACTGAAGTTTCTGCTGCAGTTCATTCCTCTGGTGTGTTTGTGTCTTCAGTGTGGGTTCAGGATCATGTGTGTCTCTGAAGAGTGACAACTCAATAAGGAATCCACCAAAGTTCAGTGAGGAAACACCATCATCAGCTCAAAGGTATGTTGTGCTTCACATTATTGCTCACACATGGACTGTTTGCCAATATTTCATTATTCATCATCAGATTTTATTGTTAAAAAGATGCATGTGTGTATACGCCTAATTCTTACACATTAATTATTAAGGTAAGACTTGTGATTTTTAATCTTTGGATAATTGTCAAATGTATAAAACTTTTAATGTCAACTGTTAGAATTTTATTGTATTGATGTACACCTGATTAATGATAATAGTTGATACACTTTATCTCTGTAGAGTGAGGTCGGAAATGGGAAGATTGTTTATTGTCATTGCTGTGAAGATTATAAGTTATTGTGTGATTAATGGATAATGAAATGAGAGTGACGGTTTAGCTAATTGCACATTGTGATTGACTATGGAATAAAAGGGTGGAGTTAGAGAATTATGTCACACACTGAGGAAGGCTTTGTGCCGAAACGTCTGTTTGTCTGTTATCACCCGTAAAATGTAAGAAAAAGTAAAAATAAAAACAGTACGAAGCAATTGAGTGCGAATCATTACCTTCTTTTGAACAATAGTAACGATAAGATTAACGCAGCAAACCAAAGAAGTAACTAAAAAAAACGCAAGCGCGCAGGACAAACTTCAGTAACTTTGCACACGTAATAAAATGTCTTAAAATGTAAACAACTTAAAAAAATGCCACATAATATAAATATGTTGTCATTTAATAAGAATATGTCAAGAACTCAGTTTTGACAAAAATGTCAGATAGAACCTTATAATTCAAAGGTGACGATATGTCAATCCTGCACACTGCACCTTTAAAGGAGACTGAAGTTTCTGCTGCAGTTCATTCCTCTGGTGTGTTTGTGTCTTCAGTGTGGGTTCAGCATCATGTGTGTCTCTGAAGAGTGAACACTCAATAATGGATCCACCAAAGTTCAGTGAGGAAACACCATCATCTGCTCAAAGGTATGTTGTGCTTCACATTATTGCCCACACATGGACTGTTTGCCAATATTTCATTATTCATCATCAGATTTTATTGTTAAAAAATATGCATACGTGTATATGCCTAATTCTTACACATTAATTAAAATAAGTGAATGATCAGTAATAAAACAAAAGGAAATAAACTAATTGCAATCAATTCTTAAATGAATACAATGAAACACATACAAAGGTAGTTTAACCCTCTGAGGTTTAAGGGCATCATGTGATCACAAAGTCATGTAAAATTCCTTTTTAAAATTTTTCTGAAGCAAGAATAAATAAATACATATATATATATATATATATATATATATATATATATATATATATATATATATATATTATACAAGAAATGTGTGAAGATTCAAAGATATAATTGCAGATAACTATATTCATTTATTCATTCTTTTTCTTTTGGCTTAAAGATGCAGTATGTGATCTGCCAAAATGCTAGCCGCTTAGCATATTATCTTTGGACGGTGGGGAGGGACTGTGATTCAAAGTCACACCCCCTGAAATCGCAAGCGCTCACCGCGTCACAACAACAGACAGACAACCCACTAGTTCATGTCATTCGCCAGTTAGTGTTTGGCCAGCGGAGTGCAGGAATTACATTTATTTTTTTTGCTACATTTACAGGCTATTTCAGAGTGAATATTCAGAGTAGCGTGGTGAACAGTATAGGCAGGCTGTCAGTAGCCGCGTTTCCACTATCGCGTCTAAAGCGAGTGAGCCAGGGCGAGCCAAGGCCAGTCGCGTTTCCACTGTCACTTCCGGGGCCTAAGCGGGCCAAAGTGGGGCTTTCTTGGGGCCAGTGGCCGGCCTTTTTTGGCCTGCCGAATACCTTGGGCCAAGGAGAGCCAACTAAAGCTTCGGGGCGGAGTGAAAGGAGAGGCGGACTTGGCCCCGAGTCTGGGAAAAATGGCTTGTCGTCATTACACTTTTCCGATCGCACACGAGTACATGAGCCAAACACACAAACAAATAAATAAATGAGGGAAAGAAAACTTCTAGCCTTATGGACTGAGGTCTTTTGCTTATACTCACCTCGAAATTTTGAAAATGGAATTAGACACTGGAGCTTCTGTTTTTTTAATTTTCAGAGATCTTTACAGTGCAAAATTGGCCCAAAAACTATTGAAAACGTATACAGAGGAAGCAGTGTCCCCTATAGAGCTTAATAAGGTCAAAGTGAAAATGAACAAACCACTTTTCGGCAGAGAATGGCTAAAGAAAATCAGGAAGGACTAGGCATGTTAAAGGGTGTCAAAGCCAAAGTGTTACTTAAGCCACAATCTCAGCCTCGATTTTGCAAAGTACGCAATGTTCCTTTTGCTCTGAAGCCAAAAGTTGAAGCCAAAATTAACCGATTAGTGTAGCTTGGAGTTATCTCCCCAGTGACGTGCAGTGAGTGGCCCACACCAATTGTACCAGTTATAGAAAGGAATGGGTATGTGAGAATATGCAGAGATTTTAAGGTGACAGTGAATCCTGCTCTGTGTGTTGAGCATTACCCATTTCCACGCATAGAGGATTGATTGGCATCCATAGCAGGGGGTCAACGTTTCACCAAATTAGATCTCTCAAATGCATAACTTCAAGTTCAAGTAGCAGAAAGTTTAAGGAAGTACCTCACAATCACCACATTGAAAGGGTTGTTTTGTTATAATCGTTTACCATTTGGAAATGCGTCGGCACCGGTGATTTTCCAAAGAGTGATGGATCAGATTTTACAAGGCCTCCCTAATGTGCACTGCTACCTCGATGATATGTTGGTGACGGGGTCCAATGAGGAACAACATCTCAAAAATGTGGATGCTGTTCGCAGCCGTCTGAACGAATTTGGACTGTGCCTTCAGCGTGAGAAATGTGAATTCTTTAAGGATTGGTTTGAATACTTGGGGCACATCATTGATGCACAGGGCCTTCACAAGTCACCAGAAAACGTCAGGGCAATTGTGGATGCACCTGAACCTAAGAATACTACACAACTTTGTTCATTTTTGGGACCACTAAACTATTACAGTTGATTTATTCCAGATCTGGCATCAGTGTTGGCCGCTCTTAATGCTGTTTTGTTCTAAGAAAAATGTGGCTGTTGTCTCAGGAGTGCAAGGAAGTTTTTGGTGAAGCTAAGAGCTTGTTGCTGTCACAGGGTGTGTTGACACATTATGATCCCCATCTGCCAATCAGGTTGGCTTGTGGTGCCTCACCATAAGGCATAGGAGCTGTTATCTGCATCTTTCCAGATGGACAGGAAAAACCTAATCGCCTTTGCCTCAAAAACGCTGACTAAGGCAGAGCAAAATTATGCTCACATCGAAAGAAAGGCACTTGTTATTGCTTTTGGAGTACGTAAATTCTACCAAAACCTGTATAGGTGAAATGTATATTACTCATGGATTACTGTCCGGTTACAACCAACAAAAGCCATTCCACCCATGAATGCGTCAAGGTTTCAATGCTGGGCTTTGTTATTAACAGCTTATGATTAACACATCAGGTATCGAGATCATGCATCATTGTAATGCAGATGGATTATCGCGACTGTCTCTGCCCACTGCACCTCAAGTTAAACAAGACACAGTGGACTTACCTCAAATCAAACAACTGGTGGCTCTACATGTGCAGTGCGCAGATGTTTGTGGAGAGACAAGGACTGACCCAATCTTGTCACAAGTAATGAAGATGGTGACAACTGGACATTTTCCACACCTTAGGGATGCTAGTAAGGTTTTTGCCCCACATGTGAATAGAAAGGATGAGTTGACAATCCAACAAGGCTGTCTTATGTGGGGAAGGAGGGTAGTTATTCCTCCTAAATGCAATCCAGGGTGCTGCCTGAAATTCATACAGGACATCCAGGTGTCGTGCGAATGAAGGCAGTTATGTCTGGTGGTCAGGCATTGACACTCAAGTAGAACAGTTGTCAAACAACTGTCAGTCCTGCCAACAAACACTAAAAGCACCTGGACCTTCTCCCTTACACCCCTGGAAATGGCCAGAGTCTCCTTGGCAATGTATGCATGTAGACTATGCTGGTCCATTTGAGGGACAAACGTGTCTCGTAGTAGATGCTCACTCAAAGTGGCCTGAAGTGTGTGATGAACTTTTTTTGTTGGCTTTACTGTAGCTTGTGTAAAATAAACTGTAAATCAAACACTTCTTACTTTAATATCTCTATCAAAAAATATGTTCTACTCTCTGTAAAGTATTTTATATGCTTAATAGAATAATGACATTTCTGTAATTTCTCAACTAAATTTAATATGTAACTAATTACACAGGTAGCAAATCTGTCCACTGTCCCAACTGTCTCCTTATAATGAGCACATGTATTATTGTCAGTGTTTGTATATCTGTATTTCTTTTTGCCTCTAAGTGTATGATTACAGTAGTTTAATCTGTTAACAGTGTTGAATATGAGTCAGCAGATTCAGGAGACAAGACTTACAGGAGACACAAGAGCTTCACAGACAATCTCCAGTCCATCTTCCAGGTAGGAAAAACTCATTTTGATTCATAATTAAGATTCCTAATATTACAGACAAAATGGTAATTGAAAAAGATCCTGCTTCAGCAACACATTTTTATTGTTATTTTTCATTTATGATGTCTAAACAAAGACTTAATTTGAACTGTCAGTAAAAATCTAATAGACGTCTAACAATATTCCAAAACTATTACCAGACTAATCATCAAATAAGACAGACCTCACAATCAGCCTTGTTTTAGCTAAAGCATATTTTATCTATGTTTAGATGTCTATCAGACTTTTTTTAACCACACAAAAGGTTATGTTGTTTTTGTTCTCAGATTGCTTCTGTATGTAGGACTTCTTTCTTAAACATCTCATCCAAAGCTTCTGTTGTGTTTTGTTGTAATTTTTGCCTGTTGTAGATTTAAAATATCTTAAATCATTCAGCGTAGGGATATGGAAGTGTAATGTGCTCAAGACCTGCCTGAATCAATTGTAGCTGTGTGTTTATCTGAAAATAACATTTGAATATTCACCAGCTAATCAGAATCAAGCATTCAACAGACACTTAGTACAATGCATTATTATGTAATTGCAAATATTGAGTTGTTTGTGGACCTACATTGAATGTTTGTGAATGAATGGTTAAATATTGTTCTCTTGTCTTCAATCATAGAATCTTGAGACTGTAATAAACAGATTTCTGAAGAATGAACTGGAAAACTTTAGGAAAATCTTACAAGAAGAAAACAGTCAAGAGTTTGTGAAGGACTTTAATGAGAACAGAAGCATTATCACAGAAGCAGCTCTTGATCTCACACTCTTCTTCCTGAGAGAGATGAAGCAAGATCAAGCTGCTGATACTCTCCAGGGTAAGAGACTCATGACCATCTGTCAGACTGACACTTACTAATATAGCTGGAAAAGTCAAGACTAAATCTCTGTGTTTCTTTGCTCCTGTGTTTAGGTGAGCTGTTCTTCACTAATCAGCTTAAATGTAGCCTGAAGAAGAAATATCAAAGTGTGTTTGAAGGAATTGCTCAGCAAGGAGACTCCACACTTCTGAATAACATCTACACAGATCTCTATATCACTCAGGGTGCGAGTGAACAGGTCAACACTGAACATGAGATCAGACAGATTGAAGCTGCTTCCAGACGTCATCAGTCACTAGAGATACAGGTTGAATGCAAACATTTGTTTGAAGCAGCTGAACAAGACGAGCAGATCAGAACTGTCCTGACAAAAGGAGTTGCTGGCATCGGGAAATCAGTCTCTGTGCAAAAGTTTGTTCTGGATTGGGCTGAAGGGAAAGAAAATCAAGACATCAGCTTCATATTTCCTCTTCCATTCAGAGAGATGAACTTAAAGGAGAAAGAAAGACAAAGTTTAAAAGACCTCATAACTCAGTTTTTCCCAGAGACTAAAGGACTGAACCTTACAAGAAGCACACGATTCAAAGTCCTGTTCATCCTTGATGGATTGGATGAATGTCGTCTTCCTCTGAACTTTGCTGGTAATGAGACGTGTGGTGATGTATCTTCAGCAGTCTCTCTGGATGTTCTCCTGACGAACCTCATCAAGGGAAATCTGCTTCCTTCTGCTTTCATCTGGATCACCAGCAGACCAGCAGCTGCCAGTAAGATTCCTGCTGACTGTATCGACCGGCTGACAGAGATACGAGGATTCAATGATGCCCAAAAGGAGGAGTACTTCAGAAAGAGACTCACAGATCAGAATCAGGCCAGAGAAATCATTGATCACATTAAACAGTCAAAGAGTCTCTTTATTATGTGCCACATCCCAGTCTTCTGCTGGATTTCAGCCACTGTTCTCCAGAACATACTGAAACTGAAACACAGGGCTCATGCTGAAACACTGCAGGAATCTCCCAAGACTCTGACACAGATGTACACACACTTTCTCCGCTTTCAGATCCAGCAGAGCAGAAGAAAGTATGATGGAGAAAACACAGCAGATGTCTCCTGGAATCCAAAGCTCATCCTTTCACTGGGGAAACTGGCCTTCCAGCAGCTGGACAGAAACAATGTGATCTTCTATGAGAGCGATCTGAAAGACTGTGGCATTGACGTCTATAAGGCATCGGTGTACTCAGGCATGTGTACCCAGATCTTTAAGGAGGAGACGGGAATTATTCTTGGTACCATGTACTGCTTTCTTCACTTGAGCATTCAGGAGTTCATTGCAGCCCTTTATCAACATCTGATTCTAGACAATGACAAGACACGAGCAGAAAAAAGCAGAGATGAGTCCATGATTGATTTGCTGAAGACTGCAGTGGACAAGGCTCTGGAAAGTGAGAATGGACATCTGGACCTTTACCTTCGCTTCCTTCTCGGTCTGTCACTCCAGTCCAGTCGACAACTCTTACGAGGCCTGTTGACACAGCAGGATGACAGAGACCAGAGCAAAGAGGAAATAATTGCCTACATCAAGCAGAAACTTGAAGGGAATCTGTCTCCAGAGAGATCCATCAATCTGTTCTACTGTCTGAATGAACTGAATGATCAAACTCTGCTGAAACAGATTCAGTCTCACCTCAGTAGAGGAAGTCTGTCATCTGCTCGTCTTTCACCTGCCCAGTGGTCTGCTCTGGTCTTTGTGTTGTTGACCTCAGAGGAGGAGCTGGAGGAGTTTGAGCTTCAGAAATTCCAGAGATCAGACGAGTGTCTCATCAGACTATCAGCAGTCATCAAAACCTCCAAAAGAGCTCTGTAAGTCAAAGTGCTTCATTCTTTCATCTGTAGGAGTCCATCTATTATCCCAAAGATGAAACTAACAGCATGGTCAAAAGTTAAATAAATGTAAGCTTTTCTAGTGCTTCTGAAAAGCATTTTATTTATTATAATTTATTTATATTTGTTTTTTAGCTCTAATTTTAATCTGCCTCCAATTTTAAGTGATCCTAAAATGTAGCCTGTATTTCTAATTGTAAGAACGGATCACATTCATCATTTATGACTTAATTTAGAGTTTAGATTTATATCTGTTCCAATACTCTTCAGTTATGTGTTTACTAGGGACCAAACATCGCTCAGACTTTCACAGTCCGGGTTTTGCATGTCTTCTCACGGACAGTATGTGAACATCCTAAAGTTAGTCAGAGGATGTTGAGTTAGCTAATACTTAAATATTCTGGTTGCAAATTGCTCACTTCATCCAAGTTGACTTAGCCACTTCTAGACAACTTGCTAATTTCAGTGATTAGATGATTAAAGATCTCCATGCTGTCGTGTCAAAACGGCTCTGTACAGTCAAATGTGTCTCTAGAATCAAAAGTCTAACCATGTCACATCATAAAGGTAGCGCAGACTCCATGTAATCTACTGGATATAAATGATTTCAGCAGGTCGCACACCAGAAGTGTCGCTCGGCGTCGTGCAGCGCCTTGCATTTTAAAATTCCAAACATAGGTTTCTATCAGGGTACACACTGTCGCTGCAACTCGGCTTCTGTCGGCAGCGCCCAGCCACGACTCAGGTCGCAGTTCATATTTCAGCTGTGCCACAGAGCGCCATCTGATCAGTTTCATGTTAAATATTATGCGAATGTGCGCGTCTGGTGTGTAATACTTTATACTGGCATGTGTGCGCCGTGTTGCGGCGCTTCTGGTGTGCGACCTGCTTTAGGGTGCTTTCACACTAGCACTTTTGGTCTGCACCTGGGTTTGTTTGACGTCATAGTACAGTATGTTTAGCTAGTGTGAACATGTTTTCTGAACTCTGATGCGCACCCATGAACCGTACCTGAGTCCGCCTGAAAGAGGTGGTCTGGGCTACGGTTCATGCGAATTCTGGTACAGTTCACTTCTGATGTGAATGCAATTGTACCAAATAACGAAAGTGAACCGCCAACTGTACAACTAACTATCGTTCTCATAACGTTCGTTCGTGTATGTGTGTGTGTGTGTCACGTTTCGTATCTTGGTGACAAGTGTGACTGAGACAGGGCAAACACAGTGATACTCAGTGATGTTTGCTTGTCTCCTCCAAAAACAGCTCCTGCAGACACTGTGTGATGTTCTGAATGTTTATAACATGTTTGTGGCAGATAGACGCGAGTCGCTTACTGTATATCCAATACTAAACGACTCAGTAAAAGCAGAATGACTGCGATGTGCGGTGCTTGCTTGCGTCACCTTCACTTAGAAATGGTCGTAAACAAAACAGCAGCTTGATGACGCAATCGTACCTGGTTCAGAAGGAAAAAAGACAGCGTCAACACAAACCAACTGAGGAGGTGGCAAGGGGGGACAATCGAACTTGGGCACGGTCCAGGCAATTGAACCAAGTGTAAAAGCACCCTTAATGGAGAGTAAAGGTTTAGGAGAACTATCTCATAAGAAACCAGTAAGCCAGTAAATTACATTGTTTATTAGTGGAAATTGCACAAAAGTCAGCTATAAAATGAAACAGCACCCCAAAAGTTCTTCCTGGTGAGAGTTGAATGATCACACTGATGTTTTTTTTTTTTTTTTTTCATTCTGAAATGAATGAGTCCGCTCTGATTGGTCAGCTAATGTATTGTGCTGTGATATGCAGATCGGCTCCACGTCACCAGGAAAAGTGTCACGGCTCTACAAGCACACACTTTTGCGCTGTGTAAATCCTATCAGTCAGAGTAGCTGTTATCCGTATCAGTGTGAGCCTGAATCAGACAGAAAATGACACAGAGGACACAGCTGAAGCTCACGCCTGCTCTCTAAAATATCATCTGACAAGAGTCTTTCACATATATTCAGAATAAGCATGTGTGAGTCATATGAAACATTCTCATATCTTTTGCAGCATTGATTGGGCGGGTTTCATTAGCTTTTGGGCTGGAATCAGTCAGCTCCATCTGGCAACACTGATCTTTTGTGAGTTTATTATCTGAGATGAAGGATGCATTTAAAAAAACCTGTGTTAGGAGTTTAATAAAGAGTTGGGCTATTGGAACATCTGAAGGAAGCCATTTAATTGTGTTTTATTGACATTAAAACTATTAAATGCTAAAATCAGCAGATGTGCTCACTAATTAGTGAAGTTAAACCAGTCACTACAGTCAGATGTGCTTCTGTGATATATAGAATAACAGGTGAACAGCTGTCACTCATGTTAAGGGTATATTTTAATTGAGATCTATTTTATAAAATGGATATTTCTATAATACTGGTGAAACGTGTTTAATTGCATATTTATACATAGAGAAAGATGCTATGTGCATTTATTGAATTAATTATTTTGGTTTGCCGTGTCTGCGTCATGACGTCACCTCGCGCTTCAGTGGGTGACGCGGCCGTGATGTGCTTTATTCATAGTAAAGACACCATTGAAGAAGCCATCTCTGGACCGCTCTCTTTTTCACCTTTTTTTTTCTTTATCTTTATAAACTTCTTTACAGGTAAATGTAAATTAAGATGCACGTAACATTCTTTCGTTTATGTATAAACACTGTGTAGGGTGATATTAATGATTGATGGGTTGAATGCAGATCGTTTTATTCGACTTGGAGTATCACGAGGTTAGCATATCTGGAACACGTTAATATGAGTGCCTTGCGATTAGCGTGTTAGCCGCTACATGTGACCAAATACCAGTACTGTATGCCAACACAGTTTGTGTGTTTAAAATTGTAATGTTGTTACATGTTTGTAAGTTCTTCTAAACAGATACTTGTAGATAATTGATGTATACAGTGCCTGAGTTATACATAATGGTTAAACAAATTAACCCTGTTGATGCCTTTTCTTTCTAATGAAGTATCTCAGATACTGGATAGCAGTTTGTACAGTTTGTAGGGTTTAACATGTTGACATCCTAGATTTAATGTCATGACAATGTTATATATATATATATATATATATGGAGTTTATGTGTGCATTTTCAATAGCTTTTTCAATTTATGAGAATGTGTGCTTGTTGAACTGCATAGAAAGAGAGAGAGTTTAGCAAATAACTTTTTGATAATATTTACGTATTTCCTTTATTCTGAATTAGTGTGTGTGAACTCATTCATGTCTACATTTAGTGATCACAGGAAAGCAATAGCACTGTTATGTGTTGAGTTTTTGTTATAGTCTTATGCTTTAAAAATTCATTCATAGTAAAGACACCATTGAAGAAGCTATCTCTGCATCGTTCTCTTTTTCACTTTTTTTCTTTATCTTTATAAACTTCTTTACAGGAGTATTAGAAGTATTAGGAGTATCTTTACAACATATTGTGTTTGTCCTCTACACAGGCTACAGGGCTGTTATCTTACTGTTCGGTCCTGTGAGAGTTTGTCTTCAGCTCTACAATCCTCAAACTGTGTGCTGAGAGAGCTGGACCTGAGTAACAATGACCTGCAGGATTCAGGAGTGAAGAAGCTCTCTGATGGACTGAAGAGTCAACACTGTAAACTGGACACACTGAGGTAAATGATTCTCCACTCTACAATAACTACAGTCAGACAGTTTCATATTGTGTTACCAAATGTGGAGCCCCTTTCAGGTAAATTGGCACAAGAATAATAAAAAGGGATGCAGGGATGTGATTTTATTCGTTTCTGCACATTGATAATGATTATATGATCATATCTAGGAGTTGACTCTGAATAAAAAAGACAAATCTATTTAAATGTAAGCTATCGGTGATACTTGTGGATCCAGGCTGTCTGTAGAACGAGTTTTCTCCACTGCGTCTGTCATGGGTCAGCTGTGATCAGCGCAGTCATCAGCATCATCATCTCTGTAGAGGAACACGATGACCAATCACAGGTGTTTAAGAACTCGCTCAACAGTGTTTAAAAAGCAAACAGGAATAATTAATCAATGACAAGTCAATACAATGTTTATTTATAAAGTGCTTTTAAAGACAACAAGTGTTTACCAAAGTGTTGAACAAGCGTGCACCATATAAACAAAGGACACATAAAGGACACAAGACTTAACACAAGAAGACAAGAGTATTGTTGAACTCCAGCATAACACTGTATGACAACACTTCAGATGACTGATCTAGAGCCTGCAGCTAATCAATCTGACAGATTCTGGAGCACATTACAGCTCTAAAGAGCATTTAAATGTTGAATGATCTTATACAAAACAAATACATTTATAGAGAGGCTATATAAGTATATCATTTCACTCACCTGGGAAACGGAGGCCACATGAACGGTTTGTGAAGTGCACACAGCATGCCATATCATCTGATACTTGTAGGAGACAATTCCAAAAGACAACTGACTGTGTAAAGCCGCATAAACAACACAAAAATACATCGAGTTCAGCAGCTAATCAGCCGGAATCAGCTAAGGTGAGGAGACGGAGACCAGCGAGACCTAGCTGTCACTCAAGTGGCCACGCCCTTAATTATGCAGACTTAATATCACCTAATACAAAGGAAACGGATGAGTCATAAAAAACATCACCCCCTCACAGTTATCATGAAGGCTAATATTAGCCATATGAACCAAAACACCTTTATTCTGCTGTAAAGTCGGCCATTTTAACAGTGGGCTCAATAGAAATCTGCTGTATATGGAGCCAGGACTAGTGGGGTTTCCATGAATTGCAGTTGCAGGTACTTCTGTGTTAGCTTCATGAGGGAGAGTGGGAGTTTACTGCTTGGTCATTGCTCTACTTATTTACTCAGTGCTATAGCTGAGCACCGTGCACTGTAGCACCATCTACAACAGTAAATCTACACTGCAGAATTCAGTGTTAAATATTAGACATTATTTATAAAGACAGACAGGCCTACAGAATTATCATTAGAGTGTATGAACGTGAATAGCAGCTGATGTTTTTGATAACGGCCACAAAACTTGATGCTGAACGCTGTGAGTTTGTGTCAGGATGATGATACATGAGCCGACTTTATGAGCAATGTTGTACAGTATTACAGGACGTGATGCTGCTTGGCTTCTTTCATAAAATTGGCAACAAACATTTTACATACAAATTGTAAATGTAGGTTAGTTTATAATATTGTATCAATAGTATGAGAGGACTAGTTACCTACCTATCTCACTCACTATCCTTCAGCTTAGTCCCTGATTTATCAGGGGTTCCTACAGCAAAATGAACCCCCAATTATTCCAGCATATGTTTAACACAGCAGATACCCTTCCGGCTGCAACCAAGTACTGGGAAACACCCATTCACACACACACTTATACACTACTGCCTATTTTAGTTACCTATTATTCCCCTATACTGTGTGTATTTGGACTGTGGTTGAAACTGCTACGTTTTACTTTTTAAAAAAAAAGTGTACTTTTTTAAAAGTGTAGTCAGTTCTTCTACTTTTACCAGAGTCATTTTAAACATGAGTATCTGTACTTCTACTTAAGTAACGGATGTGTGTACTTTTGCCATCTCTGCTACAGTCAGATGTGCTTCAGAATATTAAACACACCACATCAACAATATTCAATCAATATTGTGTTTGTCCTCTACACAGACTACAGTTCTGTAATCTCACTGTTCAGTGTTGTGAGAGTTTGTCTTCAGCTCTACAATCCTCAAACTGTGTGCTGAGAGAGCTGGACCTGAGTAACAATGACCTGCAGGATTCAGGAGTGAAGCTTCTCTCTGATGGACTGAAGAGTCAACACTGTAAACTGGACACACTGAGGTAAATGATTCTCCACTCTACAATAACTACAGTCAGACAGTTTCATATTAGAGCTCTTCATGCTTGAACATGTTAACCCTGGGTGATACTAAACCCCAGATAACAGGAATTATGGTTTATCAGTGATTGTGTTTCACACTGCTCATACTATACCTGTAGTTAACCCTCAGGGGTCTGAGGTGATTTTGGGACCCCTGAGATGTTTTGACATGCCCTGACATCTGTTTTGTAGAAATAAATATTATGTGTGGTTAGTAGGTTTTAGAGAAACAAATGTAGCTGAAATAAGATCCATAAACCAGACTGAATGTGCCTGAACAAGAGTTTAGAGTAAGCAGTCTTGTAGACTAGAATATTTACTGCACAATTATGTGAAATTATTCTGTTCTCTCATTCAGAGAAAACATTACAATGATCTACATTTTGTTAAGTGTGTTTTGGGTGATCTCAGCTGTATGTGTGAGTGACAATGCTCATGAATAATTCACACCTGAGAGACAACAGACACTCCCCCACTCACCCATCAAGGGCAGTGTACAGCAATGTCCATCTGCAGAAGCTAGCCCAAACTCAATGCTTGTTGTGTTACTGCTGTGTGACCATGTAAACACTCTGGGTAAACAATATACAGTGCTCAGCATATATAAGTACAGCCCTCACTAATCTCTCTTTTACATTCATAATTTAATAGGAAGCTCTACAGTATTATATTTGTGCATATACAATAGATTAGCCAAATCTGGAGCTCATCTAACAAAATAATTCATGATAACAGTGTAAAAACTAGTGCACTCATATTTATGTGTTATAGAAAAATATTAAATACAAAATTAAACAGAGGAAAAATCAAGAGAAGCAAAACAATAAAAAAAAGGCGAAATTTTGTAGGGTTTTTGCAATATTTATTTTAATTGTATTATGTTATATATTATTATTATGTTATTATATTGTATTATCTTTCAATTTCGAAATGTGTTTTGCTGACTATATGAATGTCATGAATAAATCAGTTTAATAAATGTGTTCTGTTTAAATGCAGCAGAATACACTGCCTATATTGACTGAGAAATGGAGGAAAGTCTTGGTTTTCAGAATGGGCTGTCCTCCATTATGCTGAGCGCTGTATGTGACTTATACAGCCGCACATATAATATATATTTGAAATGGTGTAAAACGTGTTCGCCAAACTCTCTTGTGCATTAATCCAGCATTTAATAATCATTTCTGAATGAGTCTGAGACACTGAAGTAGAGGAATGACAAACGCTTTAAACACAAGAATAAATCAGATTTAAACATGAAAAACAATTACTGTAAATCTAAATCATATTTGAAGAGCTTTAATATAGATTTCACTAATGGTTGCAGTCTCAGTTCACTGTTTGAAAACTTTACCAGGTTGTGTCTGTCTGTGGGTGTCAACATTCAACATTTCTGTGTGAACAGCCCTTAAGTCTTACCAGATGTGGAGCCCAAATGTGCTGGGTAATATTTTGCTTATATTGATATGAACTTCTACAGATGATGTCGAGTCCTTGTTGAGTGTGTGAGTGTGTGTGTGTGTGTGCTGATGTGATCAATAAGGAGAGCTGATCAGGATGTGTGTGTTCATCACTGCTGTTGACATGAGCAGAAACAGCAGTCAGCATCTTCACAACACAAAGAGATGTGTGATTGTCCAACTGTGTGATGTGGACTATTGCTGTGTTTGTAGATTGTCTGGCTGTATGGTGACAGAGGAAGGCTGTGGTTTTCTGTCTTCAGCTCTGACTTCAAACCCCTCACACCTGAGAGAGCTGGATCTGAGCTACAATCATCCAGGAGATTCAGGAGTCAAGCTGCTCTCTGAACAACTGGAGGATCCAAACTACACACTGGACAAACTCAAGTATGTGGAGCAGCACTGATGTCGTAGCGCTGAATGCTCTTAACTCTTTCCTGACAGACATTTTCATTTATTTGTTTTTGTGAGTTTTACTTAATTGTGACAGCCCTCTGAATAATCTTTAGGCAGGAATATCTGACCATATTATATATTAAAGAATCATCCTGCTTTCAGACAACAAACAGGTTTAATCTATTTTCTCAATCATCTGTTTGTGTTTTATACACACTTAACTGCAGGAACAAGATGTATAGTATATAGCACACACACACACACACACACACACACACACACACACACAGCACTAGTGTTTGTCGTTGAGCTCCACAGTGAATCAGATTTGTCATCACAGTTGTGAATGTGTAAATGAGTGATTCCAGCAAGTCTCATATCACTAATCACACACTCTCAGCTCAGAATGATGGAGTTCTGAGTCTGTTTGGAGATGATGAAGAGGCATTTGACAGAAGATGAAGATCTCCATCATATTTCAAGTCATTTAACACTGAATTCTGCTTTATTATTGTGCTGCGCTTTTGTCAATTGATCATTGAATGAATCCTTCAGTCTTTATATCTGTCTGTTTCTGTGTTTCCATTCTGTTTTCTGTTTCCACATCTGATCTAAAAGCTCTGTGTGTCATTCAGAAGCTGATTTGACAGCTCCACACACACTCATGTTGTTTTACTGCAGTTATTAATGCACTGAGATCAGCCAATCCCAATCCAGCATTCAGCACACACTCCACATGTCTTATTGTGTGTGTGTGTGTGTGTGTGTGTGTGTGTGTGTGTGTGTGTGTGTGTGTGTGTGTGTGTGTGTGTGTTATAAGCTGATGTTTGTGTACTGACTGAATGTAAATCTGTGTGTGTTTACAGTCTGGATCATGGAGGAGAGACGAGGATTACAGCAGGACCACGCAAATGTAGGACCACACACACACACACACACACACACACACACACACACACACTCTCTCTCTCGCTCTCTCACACACACTCACTCACACACACACACACACACACACACACACACACACACACTCTCTCTCTCGCTCTCTCACACACACTCACTCACCAACACACACACACACACACACACACACACACACACTCTCTCTCTCGCTCTCTCACACACACTCACTCACACACACACACACACACACACACACACACACACACACACACACAGCTGTGGTTGTAAATGTGTGTGTTCTTGTGTTCAGATGTCTGTTTCCTCACTCTGGATCCAAACACAGCACACACTCGACTCATTCTGTCTGAGGAGAACAGAGAGGTGAAGAGTGTGAGAGAGAATCAGCCGTATCCTGATCATCCACACAGATTTGATGGTTATCCTCAGGTGTTGTGCAGAGAGAGTGTGTGTGGACGCTGTTACTGGGAGATTGACTGGAGTGGAGATGCTGGTGTGCGTATATCAGTGTCATATAAGAGCATCAGGAGGAAGGGAGGAGGTGTTGAGTGTGTGTTTGGAAATAATGCTCAGTCCTGGAGTTTGTTCTGCTATTCCTCCAGATTCACATTCTGGCACAATAACACACAGACTGATCTCCCAGTGGAGGCGCTCAGCAGGAGAATAGGAGTGTTTGTGGATCACAGTGCAGGAACTCTGATCTTCTACAACATCTATAGAGACACAATGAGCCTCATCCACTCAGTCCAGACCACATTCACTGAGCCGCTCTGTGCTGGCTTCTGGGTTAATTATGGATCATCAGTGAAACTGAGCTGAAGACTGACGAGAGATTTACCCAGAATCCTCTGCAGGAGCAGTCAGCAGCAGTGTGTGTGTGTGTGTGTGTGTGTGTGTGTGTGTGTGTGTGTGTGTGTCTGTGTCTGTGAGTGTGTGTGTGTGTGTGTGTGTGTGATGCATGTGTGTAAGAGAAAGAGTGTGCGTGTGTGTGTGTGCGCAGGTTTACTATTGTTTGTGCATGTGTGTGCGTGTTCACTGCTGCGTGTCTGTGTGTGTGTGTGAGTGTGTGAGTGAGAGAGATTTGATTTTGATTTTAATTGCAGTTATTGAGTGATTGTTCATCTCATTTCCACATGTGTTATTATTGACATCAGTTGATTTATAAAGCAATTCTTGATTGATGACAGACACAGTCCAGCATCACAACACCATTCACACTCAACAACAGTCACTGCATTTGTCAAGTTACAGTCATTAAATCCTCAACACTTCTAGATGTTCTCCTGTGTTTAATAATAGATGCAGTGTTTTGTTCATGTCTTTGTTGATTTCATTTCTCCTAGAAACACAGATTGCTCATTTTGCTCGGTCAATAAGAACTGAATTAGTGGACATTTGTATTTCTGCATTTGCTTTACTGAAAGCCTCAAATAAAAACCTGTTTTGAACAGAAATGAGGCATTGGTGAAAATAAAGCAGTCAGGATATTAAACAGTGGAGAAAGTCTCGTACACTCTGTAAAACAATGAACAATAGTTTCTCTCTCTGGACAAAATGGACACGTCTCACTGATATTAGGGCTCATTTGTGTTCACAGCTACAGCAGCATGTAATATTCTCCACTGCAAGTGTCCTCCTCTTCTCATCAATGCTGCTTTATAGATCATTCTCCATTCTGCTTTCATGACTTCTTCTACTGCCAGTGTGTTTCTCCATACCATGTCAGTTCTGTCTTTTAAAATGTGCTTGTTATTTATTTCCACAATATCTCTGTCAAATATTTCACCTTCGGCTGAACTAACATCAGCACTTTCATTACAACACAGCGATGGACTATTATCCCCAACATCTCCAACAACAGCTTCAATTCTGATATCAGGGAAAACTCCTCGTCATCTGGGATAAAAAGATCCCGACTAGAACTCTCCAGCAGTGTTTTTCATTCAACATCACACTCAGTTTATCTCAGAGTTCCTGTGCAAACCTTACTGATCCTATTCCCATACATTTAGCAAGATTCACTCAGTCCAGTGTCTGCTTCGTCAACAATGTCTCTCAATCGTGGCATTGTTTTGGATACTGATATGTCCATCAATCCTGGAGTGTCATCTCCTGACAAAAACCACCGGCTCTTCTAGACTCTTGGGCCCAAACAATAGTCTCTGGATGACCTGCAGTCTATACGCTGCTCCTCTACTCACAAGATCAACCAAGCCTTGACCTCCTTCATCTCTTGGTGAGAAGAGAACACTTTGAGGGATCCAATGTAGGTTGTCCCAGAACAAATTGACCATCTCTCTTTGAAGATTCGGTAGTAAACCAATAGGGGGGTCTCCACACGCCAGCTTGTGCCATATAGAGGATCCAGCAAGCTGTTAACTATAAGTGTGCGGCCTCTATACGATAACTGGGGAAGTAACCATTTCCATTGTTGTAGAAGTCTTTGGATTTTCTCAAGCGTGCCATTCCAGTTCTTCTGAACACAGTCATCTTCACCAGAGGTATTTCAAGCCTCCTTTCTTCCATGTCAAACCTCCAGGTAACTTGGGAGGGACACCGCTCCAGCTGCCCACAAGCAGGGCTTCACTCTTTCCCCAGTTGACTTTAGCAGAGGAGATCTTCTGAAAATCACTTACAATAAAATCCAGTTTCTGAATATCTTCCGGATTCGATATGAAACAACAACATCATCAGCACAAGCAGAAAGATGCAGAGAAACGTCACAATGAGGAACACACACACCCTTTATCTCAGAGCTTAGTTTATTCAGCACAGGTTGGATAGGCAGTGTGTACAACATCCCCGACACAGCACATCCCTGTCTAACTCCTCTCTGTACTGTAAAAGCAGCGCTCAGACCACCGTCGACTTTTAATACACTTTGAATGTCTCTGTACAAAACATTGATCATATTTACAGAAGCTGGGCTCAAACCAAACATTTCTAAAAGCTTTATTAAATATTCATGTTGTATACGGTCAAACGCTTTCTCTTGCTCTAAAGAGATCAGTCCACAATTAACACCCAATTACTTCTAAAACATCTCTAACCAAATAAATATAGTCAAAAACTGATCTATTCGCTATACAATACTGTTGATCTTGGTGTATTACTTGACCTATTACCTTACTCAATCGTGTAGCTGATGCCTTTGACAGTATTTTATAATGGGTGCAGTAAAGTGATGCTGGTCTCCAGTTGCTTCTTCTTTGCAAGTCTCCTTTATTGGGAACACAGTAATTACAGCTCTTCTGCAGCTTAATGGGAGTAAACCTTTATTCAAACTGTCATCAAGAACCAAAAGAACAGCATCACCTATCACAGACCACAAAGATTTACAGAAATCTACTGGGATTCATCAATAGCTGGAGTCTTTCCACTTCCCATACTCATTACCGCTGTGTATAATTCACTCTGTGACGATGAGAGCTCAAGCATGGCATTAGAGTCTTCATCAGTGTTTGGGAGATCTTTAACTTCTATATGATCTGTATAATTGTGAATAAAAGTGAACATCATGTTTACGTATGTCACTGGATTATAAAGTTCCTCTCCTGCATTATTGTTTAGTGAATGAATAATTCCACTTTGGCCATTTTTCTGTTCTAGACTAATAAAGCTTAGAAGGAGCCTCCATTTGTGTGATGTTTATTAAACCTGAATGAATGAATGCTCCTTGTGCTTTCACTCCTCAAAAATCAGCCAGCAAATCTGTGTTTGATTTCCGGGTTTCAGATTGATCACTGCTTGTAGCTGCTGTTGTGTTAAACAGGTCTGTTAGTTCATCCTCTAGTTTCTTCATGGATTCAGGAACTCCTTTAGTGACATTAAAAGTATTTTCTTGGCATAATTGTTTAATGTGAATCTTGCCACAATCCCACCATTGCTGCAGTGAAGAATAAAGATGTTTTTCTTCTTTAAAAGTCCTCCAAAAAAAGAAAAGATTTCAATAAATGTCTCATCTTTTAAAAGGGACGTATGAAAATGCCAATAGGCACTCCTAATCTCCACAGAATGAACAATTATAGTACAAATAACAGAAGAGTGATCTGAAAACCCAACAGGAATTATTGTACAATCTTTGACACAATCTGCTTGAAAATGAAACATGTCAAATCTATCAAGCCTTGCCATTGAAATAAAATGATTCTTACTATGTGCCCAAGTGTGCTGTCTATTTTCATGATGATCATTCCTCCACACATCGCATAAATCAAACACTCTTACTCATTGTGGAAGCACTTTTAGTGAAGCAGGATGTGTTTCTGAGTGATTTGGATCTCTCTTCTCATTCTCTGTGCTGTTCAAATGAAAAACTCTTCTGATTTGATATCTTTAAGGACAGCACTAAAAGCATTGGAGAAATCTATTCTTTCATCTGCTTTTGTAGGAGCGTAAATATTTAAAAAAGTCATTAAAATATTCTCAAGTTTTGCTTTAATTTGTAATAAACGTCCTTTGACTATTTCTTTCTCTCCACATAGAATTGGTGAAAACTGCTGTGAAAGCAATAGAGCTCCTCCTCCACTATTAGAGGACATGTGACTCATGAACACTTGAGCATCTCATTCTGTTCTCCAGTCTATTTCATTAAATAAAGCACTCTGAGACTCTTGAATGAAGGTAACATCAATACGTTTCATCTTTATAAACTCAGACAGACACATTCTCTTCTGACTGTTTCTAGCAGCATTCAAGTGTAGAGCTCCAATCTTAATGTCTCTCATAAATGATAGAAACAGTCAAAAACAGAAGAAGCTATCACACCATGTCCTGTTCTTCATCTTCACGCATTTGTTTTCTCATTTTTATCATGGATTTTCTAAGACGGTACACTTCCTGATCACAGAAAGCTCCTTCCTTCATGCACCTCTTTACATCTCTTATAAGAGCAGATGGATCTGGACAATAGTCTTCAGCTTCAGTCTCTTTGTTTCTCTTGAAAGCGGAGTTAGTTGTTCAGTGTTGTACACCACTGGCTGCTCTTCATCCTCATTTAGTGATGAAGAAAAGAGCAGCCTGAATCATTGGAGTCTGAAGAATCGCTGTCAATGTCTGAAACTGCACTTTCAGTCTCGCTCTTGTCTTCTTTGGCCTGTGTTATTGTCGTCTTACCTCTGTCTTTTCTCCTTTTTATTGGAGCTTTGAAAAATGTCTCAGTTTGCATTTCCGCTTCATTTCCAGCCTCGTTGCTTTTTCCAGTGACTGCTATATTTTCTGTCAATACTGGCGTAACAATGTGACCTTTCATGCCATCTATCTCAGAATTAACTGAAGCAGGTACAACAGAAGCGCCTGCAACAATTTCAGCCAGAGTCAATGTATTTGATTCAGACTCTACTGCAGCCTCAGAGACTGGAGCATCAGCAGAAGATGCCACAGTCTCTGCAGCAGTGCAGCATCTACCTGCTTTCAATCTGAGTGTTTTCCTAAGGCACTGAACACGACTCTTCCAAACACCGAACATGCGCTCGACTAAAGCCCTTGTGCGCATGTGAGCCTGGCTGTAGCTGAAACCCTTCTGGGCATGCCCACTGTCACCAAGCAAAACTCCATTATGATCTCTTCTGTCAAACTGAGTATACAGAGATGAGCTGAGGAGGATCATGAGTTGCACATTTCCACCATGCAGCAACGTTTGAAAACTCTAACTGGGGAGTTCATACACCTTGGGCATTGATGGAAACCCAGTTCTTTTGGTTCCTGTATTCCTCCGCATCTGGAGTAGAGGGACGCTTAATGGGAATATGGGTTCCCTCTATGCAACCGATGACTCCTGGAACATTTCTATATTCATTGAACAGTACCTTGTAGTTAGCCTGGGTTCCAGCATCAGGGTGGTTTACGTGATGTGCTTTAAATTCACAAATGGTTTACTTTATGCATCTCGAACACTTAATTCATCAAAACCTTGCACTGGGTCACTTCTGTCTGCAAGAACTTGCCTGGCTGGTGGAAAGCGCTGATCATCATTGACATAGTCCAGGTAATCCATGTGTCGTCCAAATGAAATGAATCTGAAGTTAAACCTGCCTCCTGATAGATTTAATTTAAGCCTCAGATTAGTCCTGAAGTTGCTCTAGTGTTCCTCCAGGAAATCAGCCTGTTCAGTTCTGGACTAGACTAAGTCTTAGACTTTTAAAACCGTGACAGAGAAAGCACATTTCTGTTAGTCTGATCTAAATGGCCATTTCAGTCTAGGACTACGCTTAATCTTGGTCCAGGAAACCACCTCTTAATAAAGTGAAGGAAAGCCATGTTTAAATATTACAGATATATATTAGCCATGCAATGATTTATGTGTTAGATTTGTAAAATGAGTCAGACACTATTATTAAATGACTGTTTCAGTTGTGATTACACTAAACTATTCTGGTTTCTCGTGATCTCCTTATTATATTTCAGTGTTCTGTAAATTGATCATTATAACTGATTAAGATAATCTTGTTTATGGATTGTGAACTAAAACTCTTACACTATTTGGGAAACATCACATTCACTAAACACAATGTGCTAACTGATCCTGAATCTGTCAACTCTTTTTCACCCATCTAAAGGTTTTAATCATTCCCTGATTTCAATACAGAGTTACTGTAAAGATCTATTCAGATGATTAAGTTATCTGTATTTAATTTAACATTCCCTTTTATAATGATTTGTGTATAACTATGCATTTACTTATGTTATTTCTCATTAAACAAATAATAAAAAGAACAAATAAATAAATAAAAGCCGCTAAGTAAGATTTTTTACTGATAATAATAAATCATTTGTCACAACCAAAACACATCAACCCCGTTTTCCAGCTTCTGAGGGAAATTATTCATATTTTTATTGAATTTTTATCCTGAATTTTGAAAAATGACCATAACAAATAGTATTAAACATCTGTACTGTAATAGCGAGTATCGATAAACAGATAAATTGATTAAAATAAGAGTCTGAAAACACCTTCAGAAATAGAGAGATAACACATGTACATTAAAATTATGTGTTGCAAACAATAAATAAAAGACAAACTACAACATTTGAACTGAATGTAATGCTGTTTAATGGTTTTCTTGATTTGTCCTCTGGTTAAACATTATTCATTTATATAGAAATCTCTAATCTTATTTTAAAGGTTGAACATTGCTGTAAATATTCATCAGAGACCTCTCAGATTTCATCTTTAATACCTTCTCAAAATCTTCCATCAACACACTCGTCTTCAGGACACGCCCACAGTCAGGAGAATCTCATGAATATTCATGTCAGTGTCACTCTGTGGAGCCAGTAATATTTCAGGATACACCTGTAGATCACACAGGTGTGTTTTAGTGAAGTGAAAGAGTGAAAGAGCTCAGATTGTGTTCCTGCTGCACAAGAGCGTCTGTACTTCTGCATGTGAGTTTAACACTTCTACATTACGCTGATTTGTGGAGATGATGAAGGGTTTATATGTGTGAGTGTGATTTAAATGTCTGATCCTGAAGATCAAATCCTCAAACACAGATTAAACACTGAGTCAAACACGCTCATTTAAACACTGTGTCTAAAAGCTTTATTTTTAATCCCTTTACAGTGTTTGTGCTCTTCTATATCAGACTGACTCAATAGTGTCCAATAATTCAGCATTAAATATAACTCTAAACATTCAGAGTCACCAAATCAAAAGTAAAGTTAAAGCAGACCTTCAGTTGAACAGGAAGAAAAGCTGAAAACAACAAGCTGACGATCCTTAAACAACACTGCATTTAACCTTTGACCGTCAGAGTAACTCATTAACCAAAGAGCCTCTTTAGTAGAGAGACATTTTAATACTCACTAAATCAACAATTGGCTGAACCTGAACTTCTCTTGATAAACTCTATATAACATGCATTTACCTTAAATCAAATGTGAAACAGCGGAGATGTCAGATCAGGGTTAAACCAACTGCATTCATGTTAAGGACTATATATATATATATATATACAGTTGAAGTCAGAATTATTAGCCCCCCTGAATTATTAGACTCCCTGTTTATTTTTCCCCCAATTTCTGTGTAGCGGAGAGCAGATTTTTTCAACAAATTTCTAAACATAATAGTTTTAATGACTTATTTCCAATAGCTGATTTATTTTATCTTTGCCATGATGACAGTAAATAATATTTTACCTGATATTTTTAAGACACTTCTATAAAGCTTAAAGTGACATTTAAAGGCTTCACTAGGTTAATTACGGTAACTAGGCAGGTTAGGGTAATTAGGCGAGTTATTGTATAACGATGGTTTGTTCTGTAGACAGTCGGAAAAAAATAGCTCAAAGGGGCTAATAATTTTGTCCTTAAAATGGTGTTTAAAAAATTATTAACTGTTTTTTTTTTTTTCTAGCCGAAGTAAAACAAATAAGACTTTCTCCAGAATATATATAATATATACACTGTTAGACCTTACCAGGCTTTTTACAGTAGAACACTGGCAACACTGTTGCCAGCTACTCACTGTAAAAGTTTGGTTACAGTAAGTGACTGGCGACAGTGTTGACAGTTAAATACTGTAACTGAACCATTACAGTGAGTGGCTGGCAACAGACTTGCCAGTTATTTACTGTAACTGAACCGATACAGTGAGTGGCTGGCAACAGTGTTGCCAGTTAATTACTGTAATAGAGCAGTAGTGGTGACTAACTGGAAACCTTGTACAGTTAATTGTTGTATTGTAGTGTTACAACTCACAGCATTATACTGCACACACATTAATAGTATGTCAAGGTGTTACTAAAATTAATTAGTATTCTTACCTGTTATTAAAATAGAAGGCATAAAAATTCTGACAAATATATTTTATTGTTTTGGCAGCAAACAAATATACAACAGAAAATGTGTAACAAAATTAAGAAATCAGCAGATATAAATATCGTCTTACATACTACTG